GAGAGAGAGAGAGAGAGAGAGAGAGAGAGAGAGAGAGAGAGAGAGAGAGAGAGAGAGAGAGAGAGAAGCAGTAGTGTATCAAAATATATAATGAAACTCTCAACCTCAGAAGAGTTGAGAGTTCAATCCTAGGTAGCAACAGATATTTATCAGGGTATAAAAAGAAAATATCTGCAGTAAACTCTGTGTAGTCATCGCAAAACAGCCTATTTCTAAGCAATCAACAAATTCACATAATTAATCTATTCACATCATTTAACTATTTCGCTTATCATCTATTCAGTTATGAAGATTTGAATTTCCAGGAAATCTACTGAATGCAGATCTTATCCCAGAATAAGAATGTTTAGGTTTTTATACATTTTTATTCCTTCTATGTTAGAGGACATACATTTATTACTTTCTTATTTGATTCAATTTGGGTTCTCTTTCTCTTTCATAATCTGGACCAATTGATTCAGTATTATTAAATTTGCCAATTCAGTTACAATTTTGGAACTAAAATTAGATTAAACCTTGAACATGGAAAATTATTCAAGTTATTTAAATTATAAATGATATCTGAGGTTGATACAAATTATTTCTTGTAGTTTCTTAGGATCTTAATTGTTTCCTGACATCAAATCTCAACAGATGCAAAATTTTCCCAGTTGAAGAGCTATTTAAAGCAGGAGTCAGGAAATAATAATTATTGTTCAATAATATTATTCTAGAGTACATCTAATTAAATTCTTATACTAACATCATTAACACCATTATACATGGAACTGTAGTCTTAAACAGTTACCCATTATTTTTTTAGTTAGTGTTGCTCATATGGTTGGCATGAGGGGAAAAAATCCTACATATCTGTTTTATTTCTTTACTTATTACCCTTCTTATAATAAAGTGATTCTGGATACTTTATAATAAAAATCATCATAAAAAGCTAGATGTTCAAAACCACAATGAAAAGACATCAATAATTTTATTGACAGCAAGCTGGTGGAAAAACTATCTCATCTCATCAAAATGCCATATATTGCAATAATATTCCAAAACTGGTCCAAAATTTTTAAACTTCTAACTCTGTTGCAACTTATTGACCTGCCTTTTATCTATTATATTAATAGGAAAATGGTTAACAGATAGAACAAAAGCAAAAATAAAATTTCAAAATCCTCTCTTAACTATCTATTATTGTATTTATTTTGTAGAAAGTTTAACACAGCTTCTTATCTATCCAAAATCATGACAAAGTTAAGAGTTTCCTTGTTTACTTCTTAATAACATCTCTTATCAATTGTCTGATTGAATATAATATCTATCCAGAATTGATCTATTTTCCCAAAAAAAAAAAAGATCCAGATGGAATTCCTTTCCAGTTAAATATAATAAATCTATTCCTCAATCTTATTCAATCTTCTTAAGAGAAACCAATTTATCACTCATCTATCCTGTCAACTCTAAGTCTGTAAGGTACATAGTATTTTCAGTCTTCTCCACTGAATCTGCTTTTCTGAGTATGGTTTAGCTGCAGTTACTTGCATTTGAGCATTCTCTTTAGATTGATGTGTAGCCATTGCGATTTTGTCGAACTTTTTACCAAAGTTTTCAAATTGCAATTATAGGTTAAAAAGCATGCTTTTCTTGAATGTCTCCCAGAAAACTTTGTAGTAAACCGATACATTTTTTGCTCTCCTGTAGCTTAGCAATGGAAGATAAAGAGGAGGAGGGTTTGATTTAAATTTAAAAAATAATATTTTTTTTACAAGTTAATAAAATACAAAACTTCTATTGTGAGAGTTCAATATAGATGTAAATCAAATCAAGATACTTTCACTACCCAGGAACGCCTCGCAACTTTGAAGAAACAAAAGTTATTCAAAGCAACAGGGTAGATCAAAGGAAAAACACAGAGAAAAACCCACGCAAAAGGGGTCAGAATAAATCAGATTTAACCAGTTGACTATTTTTTAAAGATTAAAAAAAACTAAAATAGAAATTTCAAAAAATTCAGTTAAAACCAAGGCATGTTTTTTTTTTCCTTGAAAAAACAATAAACTAATAAGAGCAATAGATGGAGGCCAACTTTATGGCTATTCCTACTGGGAACTGCCATCTTCAAGATTTGTTTTCCCAGGTGGGTCCATGGTCATTCAAAAGTTGTCTTGGCTTTCCTAAGTGTTCCAGTTCAAATCCAGGGAGCAGCAGCACCAAAGAAATAGCTTTGGCAGCAAAATCAGCTGATTGTTGGTAGGAGAGAAAGATCACCCTACTGTTCAATACACCATCTCATGGGAAATCTCAATATTGAAATACTATTAATAATCTTGCTCTTTTCCCCCCCTCTGTTCTACTTTGGGGATGGGGGGGTTGTTGTTTCTTATTCAGTGTTTAAGTAGTCTACTGTATTGTGAGTTTGTTTATATTGTGACCTTAAAGTATTTAGCACAAATACAACACAAATGTAACAAAGGCAACAGTAAAAATATTGGGTTTCTGTCTGGATGGTCTCTTATGACGAGCCGATGGACAGAGAATGGAAGCAGTGAACTCCCTCCCATATTTGGGCATACATACATACATACACACACACACACACACACACACACACACACACACACACATATATATTCTTTTTCTTTGCCAAATGTTAGAAGCCGCCATGAACTACAATTTCAATGTGATTATTTTATTTACATGTACACATACACATAAAAACATTTTTGTATAGTTGTTTTGTATCAGAAAAATCCCAAGATCTTCAAATAAATCCTACAGTTACAGTTAAGTCCTCCTTTCTAAATTTTGCTGGTTATTTTAAAGCAAGAGGCAGCATAAGATAGTATACTATAGTGTAGTATTAGTATTTCTAATGTCTATATGTTTGCTTGAAAAATAACTAAACAAAGTAATGTTTACATTTGACCACATATAATTTCTACTGAAAATTGCCAAAATGAAGTAAATGCCAGTTGTAAAAAATTGTGTGTGTGTGTGTGTGTGTATGTGTGTAACAAACAATATAGAGATTTTTTTAAAAAAATATACAAGTACATAAGCAAAATAGATTCATTTTATTTTTTAAAAATGGTGCAGTATCACTCTTAATTATTTTATTTTTCATTTTTCTTCTGTTCTTTCTCCCTTACATGCTGCAGTTGCTAACATATTATGGAGAGAGGAAGGTACTATAACTTTTTCTCTTTTCTCTTTTCTATAATAATGAACTTGTCTCATATACATGTTATTTCTTTCAAGCACACAATAGCTATAGTTATTTTATTTTAATTATGTCTTCATAAATTGCTGCTTTCGTTTAAATTGCTTGTCATTGCAAATAGTGTAATATGGTTATTTTCATTCAGAGAAAAAAATCAGTATCTATGGGGCATTATGCTGCCAACTCGAGAGCACCATGACATATATATTATCACAAGTAAATTCCAGTGGAGGATATTTTCCTAAATATGCCCTTCTGCTTTCATAAACCATCCAGCTAATTATGTTATCTCTTGTTAGAATTTTGATTGAGGGGTATAATTCATCTTTTTTGTAAAGAATGATATCTTGTGAATCTTGTAAAAAAAATTGTGTTATCTGGTATCTTGAAGTTACATACCTATTGATCTTTTAAACTTTTAAATCTTTTAAAGTTTCATACTCTGATCATTGCTTCTAATAAATAATATATGAATGGACTTAACATTTAAATATAACATTCCTAATTTTAAAAAGATCTTTCTCACATGCAAAACCTTAATGGATTATCTCAATGAAATGTTTTAAGTATCAACATTCAACTTAAGTCCATAAAATATAGAAAAGAACTAGTTAAAAAATTTAAACAACAGATTCCAAAAAATGGAACTGAAGTTTAACTAACAATAAAAGTGATAGAGATAAATCTTTTAAAACATATAACATCTATGGAATTTATGAAACACAAATAATATATTGCATGTTTTAAGGAATTTGTGTTTTTGAAATGTCAAGTTTTACTGAATCTAATCGTAAAACTCATTCACAAGATTATCAGCTTTTTATTGTCTCCTTTGCCTCTAATAGTGGTTTAATCTGCAGATATTATTTGGTCACTGTTCCATGGTGTGAAAATATTCACTTACTAATTTCTTTGTGTAAAACTATAAAAGTTGACTAGATTCTTCTAACTCATGTGCCAACACCTAACTATAGTATTTTACTAATTTAAATCAAATTTATCCATTTGATATAAGAGGGATATGTTAAAATGAATTACAGAAACATGTAGAAAGATTGGGGACACATTGAACCTTTATGGATGTCTCTGCTATTAGTAAAATTTTTATACTTTCATAGTCAGAACAGAACAAAATAACAGAGTTGGAAATGACCTTAGAAGTCTTCTAGTGACTACCATGTTTTCCCAAAAATATGACCTACTCAGAAAGTAAATCCTAGCTTGATTTTTACGCATGCGTTCAATATAAGCCCGTCATTCCCCACAATGAGCCCTAATTAAGACCTCGCCCACTCCAGGGTGCACCAGTAAAATTAAGCTAGAGTGGGAGGCTGTGTGGAGCTACCTTACTGCTTATCTTCAGATAGTTGCAGCCAGGCCTCACAAACCTCAGCTCATTTCTTTTGCTGCAGCCAGCAAGGCTTTCCTGAAGGTCTCTGTAGACAATAACAGAGCTCTGGATTGATCCGGAAGGGTTTTTTTTTTTTTTTTTTTTGACTGAAGAGACCTTCAGGAAAGCCTTGTTGGATGAAGAAGTTCCTGAAGGCCTCTGATATGAAAAAGAGGCTGGGGGGGGGGGCACACGCTCAAGTGAGTCAGTGAACAGCATACCCCCCCCAAAAAATAAGACCTGGTGCCTTTTTTGTTAGAAAAAATATAAGAGAGGGTCATTTTCTGGGAAACACAGTAGTCTAATTACCTGCCCAGGCAGGAAACTCTATACCATTTCAGAAAAATGATTGTCCAATCTCTTTTTAAAACTTGTCCAACAGAAGACGGTTCACTGACAAAACTGCACTCGACTGAACCGCGCCTGACTAAACTGCGTCGCTGATGTCATCAAAAGGGCGACAACAGCATGGAGACAGAAGCACGCTGTAAACCCTAAACCTAAAATTAACCCATAAACCTAAACCTAACCCTCCTAAACCTAATCCTAATCCTAACCCTAAACCTAACCCTTAACCTAACCCTAAACCTAACCCTAAACCTAACCCTAAACCTAAACCTAAACCTAACCCTAAACCTAACCCTAAACCTAACCCTAAACCTAACCCTAAACCTAACCCTAAACTTAAGTTGAATCAGCTTGCTTTCAAAGCGCTATTTAAAGCGCCTTTCTTTCTCCGCGCTGGCTGTTGTCGCCCTGTTGATGATGTCAGTGACACGGTTTAGTCGAGCCCGGTTTTGACGGGTCACGCAGAAGACAATATATGTTATTCAAGGTTGAGCTGTTGGGTTCTTAGTGTTCTCTTAATTTGGTTTTTCTCTTGTAGATATTTTATTATCATTAGATAATGCCATCAATATGGGCAGTGAGTTTTATTGGATACATAGTAGATTGGCCTGTCTGTCATATTGAAATTGTGTTTTCTTTCTGTATGGTGCCTTAATTAGGATATGGTTTGCTCCTGATTTCTTATCTTGTGCTGTTTTCTGCTTCTTTGGGTGTTGACTCCTGGGGAAGGGGAAGCACTGGTGCTGGGATGTGTTATAGGAGACTTATTTACTTCCTAGGGTTTTGTAAAATGTTATGTGAGTGGGGTTTATTTCTACATGTCTGTTGATGAGTAATTTGTCTGAGTATCAAGCGTCTAGAAATTCCTTAGCATTTTACATTTCCTTGATCTAAGATGTTCAATTTCCCAATTGAAAATGGCTAAATCTGTCCTGTTATGAACTTAAGGAACTTTCATTGTGTATTCTGACTGCCAGTTTGTAGGCATACAGTCTGCTAGTCTTCCATCCATCTGACCTACATAAATGGCTGTTACGGTTCTTCCTTTGTATGCTATAATCGAGTCCTGATTTTATTTCTTTGGTTATTGGATTTTTTGGATTACTTAACATGAAGTTTGGTTTGCTTGGAGGCAGTTTGTTGGTTTATGTGCTACAATAATGCAGAGTGACTATAGTACAGTAGTCTGTATGTTGTCCTGCATTGTTTTCATTTCTTTATTTCATTAAGTTTGTTATAGCTGGCCACTCAATTAGACTTTCATGATAGTCTTTGATGTATAAGTACATTATCCTTTTTGAAGGTTATAATGGTTGTACTGCTGTGGATTGTATAGTTAGTTACTTTTTCATTAGGCTGGGCATCCATTAAATTGGAAAATATTCTATAGATGATATTTGTTATCTTTTTGGTATATCAAGTTATTGCAGTGTATCTGTGCTTGTCTGAATAATGTTTGTATACAGTTCTTTTTATGGATGGTTGGGTTGCGGATTTCAAAGTAAAATACTTTATTAATGAAAATTGTTTTTCAAAAACCTGGGTCTCTAATTTGCCATTGCTTCCTCTGCTAATGACAATATCTAGAAAGGCGGTGTATTGTTGATTTCTTGTTCTCCTTGCAAATTTTATTATTTCCTTGATGCGTTGATTGACTTATCTAATTGCTTCTTTTTCTTATGATGAAAATGTCATTTAAATAGCAGAACCATATTTTCACTTGTATGTGTGAAATTGTTACTGCTACAAAACATTGCATCATGGTCTCAGCTATGACTCCTAATGGTGTTGATCCCATGGGTGTTTCCCTCTTTTGGTATATTTGTTAAGCTAAAAGTAGGTGTCAAAATGAAAGCCAGGCTATGAGTTCCATGGATCTTGATATTTAAATCTTCTTGTACTCTGTTAGGCTGAAAGTGTTGTATAGTACTGCTGCAATGGATTCTATTGCTAGTTCTGTATCTGTGGATAGGAAGAGTTCTGGACATCATAAAAAAACATAATTTCATCTTCTGTTCTTAAGTCTTTGATTTTCTGGAGGCACAATAGTGGTGAATTGATAGAGTATTCCCTCCTATCTATGAGAAGTCCAAGGTTTTTGGTGAGTTCATAGCTATATTGTATGATGGGGGCCCTGATAGTGATATGTTTGGACAAAATGGGGTTGTAGATTTTTTAGGTAGTTTATGGCAATGTTAGAGAAAAGATTTGTTCTTGTTCACTTGAATGAAGTTAGATTACTTTCAGAAGCCTGATTTACTCCTCTCTGCATCTGGAATAGAGACAAAGAGTATAATAGCCAGAAATATTTCATGTATGATTACATCCTTTAAACATTGGATATACAGATTCAAGAGAAAGGTCTATAGATAGGATATAGGATTTAAGGTATTTCATTGGATAGGAAACTGATAGGGATATATGGATGTCTGAATGGGACTGGTGTGTTTGGACACTATTTTTATACGATTTGTAATAAACTGCAAAAATTATTACATTTGGAGATATTTTTCTTTAAGTCTTTTTAGATGGCATTCTTGTATTTAAATTCTGCTTCAGTTATTTCATACTGCGACAGTAGATATTATAATGTGTTTCTGAAAGTGTACCTGGTTATCTTTGATTAAGGAAATTGTTTATAAATATTTTATAAAATAAAATAACTGATGTTACCTAGTCTCATAATGAAAGGTCTCCAGGAAGACAGCCAAGTCTAGAGAATACTAAGAACCCAATTCCAAATGACAAAATAATTGCTTCTTTGCTTAAAAAAATACTTGAGTGTTAATCTTTTCTCTAATTTATGAATGGCTATAAAATTGAATACAAATATTGTCTCTATCCTTAGTTTCACCTTCATTTGTTAAAAATCAAAGGGATTTCTAAATGGAAATAGAAATGCGATAAGAATTTTATATCCTTGTAAATTGCCTATAGTTATTACAGACCCTATATCAATGATAGATTTGAAGAATTTGCTGTATTTAAAATAATAATATGGAGGAGGGCGGTTCTCATTATTTCCTGACATAAAAAAGTTATAGTATATTTGGTTTGTTCCTCTCCATGTAATCTGTTACCTAATGGATAGTAATCCAAAGGAAGTATTTAATCTCTTTCCTTCCCTAGAAAAAATGGGAAGTACACCCCCAAAATGTACTGTGATGAGAATATGCATTCCATCTTTTTTTAATATTTCAAAATCCTCATTTATATCCAGATAAACAATCATTTTGGAGGGAATAAGTTTTTTTCTTGGTGCTTTCTCCCAAATTAAATTAAATTAAATTCATTTCCATTGCTGGATCTGATCTTTAAAAAATTGTACAAAAATGTATCAGGTCAGAAATTCAGTCCTAAAAATATATGGCCTTCTCAACACTAGTTTTCATGTTGGTATCCTGTGAAATATATTATCTTAAAAAATACTATCCCTGAAACTCTAGTTGTCAGATCAGTTATACAAATGATGCAGTAATATTTGTACTGACACAATTATGTTCTATAATAAAGTCATGGTTGGCTGAAATATATACTACCTTATAAGTAAAATGCTATTTTTGAAAAGCATATTATACCATTATTATTTTCTATGGCCTAACATAACTTCCATTGTTTAGTCTCAGATATGAGATAATGGCATGTACAGTATAAGGATTGTTTCCTTTTTACTTAAAAATAATTTTAGAGTGATATTAATGAGGTCATTTGTTTGTCATTGAGACTATTCCATGAACTCTTGAATCTACATTTTAAAAAAAACCCTCTAGAATCAGAGCTACTAACTTCTCATGGATTAACAAATCAATCTCTTTGGCTTCTAATTTTGTTTAATAATTATTCATTAGATGTTTAATATACTTTAACATATTTTTGCTCCTAAGGTCTGGGAATTGGTAATATGTTCTATGTGTTTTATGAAGATGGAATCAAAGTGATACAACCAGTAGAGTGTGAATTCCAGAGACACATTAAGCCTAATGAAAAGCTCCTTGGATTTCAGGCAAGTATTCTTGAAATACAGCTATTAGGTTTCTATTTTTTTCACCCTAGTAATGAAATCTGCCAAACACTGAAGATGTTCTTTCAAAAAAGAATGAAAGACATTCTTCATTATCACTGTATTTTCGTTATTTGTATCCTAAGAATCAGGACCACAGGAAAAACTACACTATTAAGATGTGCATGCTTGTTTAAATTTATAAATCAATGAACCAGGGATGGGTTGCTGCCAGCATTACTGTCAGTTCGGTACATGTGCAATTTTGCAGCCCTCTCTAAGCGGTCAGCATATTGCCCACAACAATTTGGCTCCTCATTTTACCCGCCTCGTAAGGATGGAAGGCTGAGTCAACCTTGAGCCTGGTAAGATTTGAACCGCCAAATTGCAGGCAGCTGGAAGTCAGTAGAACTAGCCAGCAGTACTGCACTCTAAACACTACGCCACCATGGCTCAGTGTATAATAATACACAAGTAGAAATTGTATATCTGTACATGTATATAAATAGAAGTTATTGCAGAATCTTTCCATGGAGATTTTCAGTCATCCAGGTTGTGGTTGACCCAAAGGTCAAGAGCCGAAGTGGCGCAGTGGTTAAATGCAGCACTGCAGGCTACTTCAGCTGACTGCAGTTCTGCAGTTCGGCTGTTCAAATCTCACCGGCTCAAGGTTGACTCAGCCTTCCATCCTTCCGAGGTGGGTAAAATGAGGACCTGGATTGTTGGGGGCAATATGCTGACTCTGTAAACCGCTTAGAGAGGGCTGAAAGCCCTATGAAGCGTTATATAAGTGTAACTGCTATTGCTAAAGATGTTTTTTTCTTCAGCTTCTGAGCTGAAGAAGCTTCTTGGATGAGAAGTGAAATGTGTTTAAAAAAAAAACACAAAGTCCTAAGTTGCCTCTTGAAAAAGCACCTGTGGGATATTACAGAAACTTAGAACAAAATTCGAACAAAACTCAGTGCAGATAAAAATATAAATTTATAAGCTGTGTAGATACACACACAGCACATTACAATAAGTGATCAGAGAAAAAAGCAGTTCTCTGCTTCACACAACAAGGTGATTTTTGCAAGATTTTGCAGGCATTCTAATATCTAAAAATGGTATTCTATGTTTCAGCTTTTACTAGGTTTTTTTTTATTTTTTTACTTAGTTCTAACCTCACTACCGTACCATATTCTCTTTGGAATCATTCACAGCTTCAATCTGTTCCTTCAAAATGCGCTAATCGTATAAAACTAGTATTTGGTGACATCCCAGCAGAGCCATCTTGCTTGCGATAAATTTTTTAAAGGTGATAAATTTTTAAAGGTGATCTTTCATATTCTCTTGAAACACTTTCTGTTTCTGGTAGATGCTAAAAAGAAAATATGTAAATATTTTTCATATTGAAGAACTTCACTGTTCAAAGGCTACAATTCATATCACTTTTTTCCAATAAAATTCAGAGAATATTCATCACACAGCATAAGTTTTGTTGTTCGTATTTTAACATGCAGTCTCTGATAATATCTCTGCCTCCTAAATCTTAATGTCAGAGTTATATTTCTGAATAAGGTAAATGACAATTTCGCAAAAGTTTATCAAGTGATTATAATCACTGAAAAAAATAGTATCCAGAAAAAGGATGCACTTGTGTATAGATAATGTAGACAAATGATATATGAAAAGTGCTTGGTATACTGTCAACAAGACACAGGTATTTTATTTTTACTGTCACAAAGATTTATATAGAAACTTCATTCCTTGTTAATACAATCAATTCATTATGATGAGTAGGAGAATGATTTTTTTTTTTATTTCCTTGCCCTTTCTTAGGCTGCTGAAGAAATGGATGGAAATGGGCAATGAGACTGATAGGTCTAAGCTAAATTTCGCTCTGGCAGTTATACATGATATATGAAGTAATGGAAATGCTATTCCAAATGGAATTTTCAGTCGTGACACCTGCTTTTTGGAATAGCATTTTCCCAGAAAATTGGACTGCCCTGACCCTGTAATCTTTAAATGATCTCTAAAATTGTGATTCCCTAAACTTTATCATGTCAAGGTCTGCCGATTTGGCATGTTCCCCACCCCCACCCCCATTATGTTTTAAAATATTTTTAGATATTGTATCTAATACAATATTATCTATCTAATTTAATACAATACAAAAAACAACAACTGAATGAGTGTTGAGTTTGGTAGCTTACAATTAAAATCAATAAGTAAATACAAATAACGTCATAATAAACAAATAGTAAATCTACAGGACATATTCTATAATGTAAAATTATTTCTAGCTCTTATTTTCAAATGATTTTATATTTAATGGCAGTGTTTTCTTTATGTACAGACACTTTATAAGTGGGATTAGGAAATTTATTTACATTTCATTTTGACATGTGATGATTCACATTGTGTCTTCGCAGTACATCAGGAAAAAAAACTGTCAAAATGGAGTCTACAAAATTCTAGAATCAGCTATATATTGAATTGAATTGAATTTATTGCACTTATATGCTGCCCTTTTCCCTGGAGGGGACTCAGGGCGGCTCACAATCCAAGTCAGGGAAGGGGATAGAAATAAGGGATAAAAAGACAATTCAATTCAATATATAGCTGATTCTAGAATTTTGTAGACTCCATTTTGACAGTTTTTTTTTCCTGATGTACTGCGAAGACACAATGTGAATCATCACATGTCAAAATGAAATGTAAATAAATTTCCTAATCCCACTTATAAAGTGTCTG